AAAGAGGGAGGTGGCGGATGCATAGTCAACGTCGGAGGTGGAAGAGATACCGATGCGAGGCAGAAAAACGAGGAGGGACATGTAACATCCGATCTACTTTTAAAATATCCAGATGCAACATTTGCAGCATACGTCTTAAGGCAGATGAAACACTTGAAATATGCATATGAAACACTTGTTGCAATATCATATCTACTTTTGAAACATCCAGATAAAACACTTGCAACATACGTACGGGAACAGCTGAAACACTTGGAATATACGTCTGAAACACTTTCAAAAACATATGCAACATCTTGATAAAACACTTGCAAACATACGTATGGAAAAACAGATAAAACATTCGGAACATACACTTGAAACATACATGTATAGCCATCGCAACATCCCAATTTACTTTTGCAACATCATGATGAAACACTTCCAACATGAAACACTTGAAACATACCTTTGCAACATGGGCTTTTCAATGCAATGTCATCTTCTTGCTTGGACTTAAGAGGCTTGTCGTTGTGGAGCTCCGACGGAGGCGCATGGAGCTCGTCGTGTGCTAGCGGCGTGGGCAACTCACCGACGGGACAACTTCACACGAAGCTCAACCCCCCCCCCCCACCTCGTCTGCTTGCTGGAGCATCCGTCGTAGAGGCTCGCCGGCTTGGTGGGCAAGCGCGTCTTCCCAGAGCGGTGGAGGTGGCCGCAGTGAGCAGGCAGCGCGGTGGAGCACGGGCGCACGTGAGCAGGCAGCGCGGTGGAGGCGGGCGCGCGCGACGGGGCAACACGTTGGAGGCGGACAGGAGCGAGAGAGGGCGGGGTTGGGAATTTTATTTTCTCGGCAGGGTGCGGATGAGAGGGAGCGAAGACGCGATAGTGAGCGGGGGAGACGCGTCTGTTCGCACGGACGCCCGGGTGGAATCATTATCATTAATAAAATTCATAGGGATTGCAAGTTAAGCTAGAGGAGATCAACCAAAGCATAACTATTTTCGGCTTGCCTTGTTCCATTTCCTAGTAGAGAATGAAACAGAAATGGAGGTCGGGCGGCCGGGATGGTATACATTTTGGCTCGGCAGCTGCAGCATGCAAGGGGCAGCGCACTATACATAGCATTCTCCATTTTCTTGTGCCGTGTCTGGCCCAGAGCGTCGGAGCATTTCTGATCCTTCCCTGGAATTTCGCACATCTTTCACCCATTGTTGTTCCTGTTGCTTGTCGATCGTCGTCCCGATCAATCGGCAGTGCAGTGGCCGGATCGATCGAGCGCTTGATGCCGCATGCCGCCACCGACGTTGCCACCATCGTCCCCGGACGACCCCGCAGAGCCATCGATGGGGCGGGAGATGGACGACGAGGACCTGGTGGAGGAGCTCCTGGTGACCGTGAACTCGGCGCGGGCCTTCGCGGAGTTCCGGCGCACGCAGCGCAAGGAGTGCGCCAACCTCCTCCGCTGGCTGCAGCTCGTCCTCCCGCTCCTGGAGGAGCTCCGCGACGCCGCGCCCCGGCTCACCGACGACGCCTACCGCCGGCTTGCCCTGCTCGGCCGCGCGCTCGCCGCCGCGCGACGCCTGCTGCGATCGTGCCACGACGGCAGCAAGATCTACCTGGTTCGGTTTCGATCGACGACCCTCCGATCTGATCAATCACTGAATGCATGCGTACGTCTTTGCGGCCTTTGCCTGACGCTCCTCTCTCTCCTTCCATTTCAGGCGCTTGAAAGCGAGACGGTGCTGGCCAAGTTCCGCGACGTGTACGAGAAGATGCACAGCGCGCTGGACGGGATGCCGTACGCCGAGCTCGCCATCTCCGATGAGGTCAAGGAGCAAGTAAGCTCGGCTGGCATGAGCATCGGGGCATGTTTCATGTGTGTCGATCTCTGCCATTAATTCAGAGTCATGCATGAATGAATTCCAGGTGGAGCTGATGAACGCGCAGCTGACGAGGTGCAAGAAGCGAACGGACACTCAAGACATGGAGCTGTCAATGGATCTGATGGTGATCCTCCAGAACAAGGAGGAGGAGAGGAACGCCGACAGGGCCATCCTGGAGAGGCTCGCCAAGAAGCTGGAGCTGCAGACGCTGGCGGAGCTGAGGGCAGAGACGATGGCCATAAAGAAGCTCATCAACGACAGGAACAGCAACGGCGGCGGGCAGCACGCGGTGGCGGACAGCACCAGGCAGATGGTGGACCTTCTCAACCGGTTCAAGGAGATCGCCGGCGTGGACGAGAAGGACGTCCTGGGCGGCGACGTGTCCATGCCCAAAAGCCTTGACAAGTGCCCCTCCCTGATGATCCCCAACGACTTCCTCTGCCCCATCACGCTGGAGATCATGACGGACCCGGTGATCGTGGCCAGCGGGCAGACGTACGAGCGGAGGAGCATCCAGAAGTGGCTGGACAGCGGGGAGAGGACGTGCCCCAAGTCGCGGCAGCCATTGGCGCACCTGTCGCTGGCGCCCAACTACGCGCTCAAGAACCTGATCCTGCAGTGGTGCGACAAGCACATGGTGGAGCTGCAGAAGCGGGAGCCGGAGCCCGCCGCGGAGACGGAGGAGCACAAGGAGGACATCCCGTCACTGGTGGAAGGCATGTCGTCCATCCACCCCGACGTGCAGCGCAAGGCCGTGAAGAAGATCCGGAGGCTCTCCAAGGAGTGCCCCGAGAACCGGACGCTGATCGCCGACAACGGCGGCATCCCGGCGCTGATCGGCCTGCTGGCCTGCCCCGACAAGAAGGTGCAGGAGAACACGGTGACGTCGCTGCTGAACCTGTCTATCGACGACAAGAACAAGGTGCTCATTGCCAGGGGAGGCGCCATCCCGCTGGTCATCGAGATCCTCCGGAACGGCACCCCGGAGGCGCAGGAGAACTCGGCGGCGACGCTCTTCAGCCTGTCCATGCTGGACGAGAACAAGGCCGCGATCGGGAGCCTGGGCGGACTGGCCCCGCTGGTGGAGCTGCTGCGCAGCAGCGGCACCGCCCGTGGGAAGAAGGACGCCGCCACGGCCATCTTCAACCTGGTGCTCAGCCCGCAGAACAAGGCCCGGGCGACCCAGGCGGGCATCGTGCCGGCGCTGGTCAAGGTCATGGACGACAAGGGGCTCGGCATGGTGGACGAGGCGCTGTCCATCTTCCTGCTGCTGTCATCGCACGCCGCGTGCCGCGCCGAGATCGGGACGACGGCGTTCGTGGAGAAGCTGGTGCGGCTCATCAAGGACGGCAACAGCACGCCCAAGAACAAGGAGTGCGCGCTGTCGGTGCTGCTGGAGCTGGGCACCAACAACAGGCCGTTGCTGGTGCACGGGCTCAGGTTCGGACTCCACGAGGACCTCTCCAAGATCGCCAAGAACGGCACCAGCAGGGCGCAGAGGAAAGCCAACTTGCTCATCCAGCTCGCGCGCAAGCTCTGATCTGACTTCTTTTTTCTTTTTTTTTCCTTTTTTTTGTGATGAGGAGGCGTACAAGTAAAATGCAACGTCTTTCAGCAGGGCATAGAAATTTGAGAAATTTTGGTGTATCCATCGGCCATCGCCCAACAGATTTGTCACGTGTTTGCTGCAGTACTCGCTAGGATAGAAGAAATGGCTAACTTCATTTTTGTGATGCACCACGTAGTGGTTGTTCACGATCTCGTGGAGCATGACCAACCAAAACACTAGGTTATTCCATCAAGCAATCGAAGAACAAACAAGAACCAGTAGACAAGCATTGATTTGCCAAATAAAATATGGAGGTTTAAATATGAATCACAATACTGTGGGGTTCCAAATCGAGTCCGACACAAGCGTCTACAAGCAGCAGCACTTGAACTATATCACTTGATAAGGGTGTGGATTCGATTTGACTCGAGAGACGTTCATGACCCGATTACAATTGTCCAAGGACGCTGCGCCCTAGCGATCGATACACCAATTCCAATGGTTGTTCACGATCTTGTGGAGCACGGCCAACCAAACCCCTAGGGTTATTCATGCAAGCAATCGAAAAAACAAGCAAGAACAAGTAGACAAGCACTAAACTGACAAATAAGATATGGAGGTTCAAATCTGAATCACAATAAGGTGAGGTTCTGGATCGAGTAGAATGGATGACCTAACCGACACACGCGTCTATAAGGAAGTACCAATAGCTAAACTTACAACAAAGCAAAACCCAACCTATTCATAGTGGCTTTAGAGATGTAAATGGGTGTTTGGGTCGTTCTCCAATCCCTAGAATACGTCTCTAATGGACCTAATTTGATAAATGGACCATCGGTCTAAAATAGGACCCAACTTGATATCTGGGCCATCGGGCCAAAACAGGGTGATGTAGCACCATAGGCAAAAAAGATCTTGGCATGGAAACGATGGATGCGGATGCATCTGATAAGTGCGAAATGATGAATGTGGATGCATCTGATAAGATGTAGGCATGAGTCCAGATCCATTGGAAAGTAGATTTGATAAGCTTTCTATAAAGTGGTAGAACGTCCCAATCAGGAGGCCGTATGAAGCTGTGACGACCGCCGTAAGTTGAGACCGTTATGCAAACCGAATTCAACTTCCAAAATGTATTGAACTTAGACTCTTTGTTTCCTTAGTCCAAAAGTGACGTGATGATCTGGTGGAGGAACTTAGGAATACTTAAACTTAGTCTCCAATCACAACTTCATTGATATTCCATGCTTTCTATGTGCAATCAAACTTTCCATTAATCTATGTAAGCAATTACAAAAAGAAAAATGTACAAACTTCAAGGTGCATCATCAATTTGTAAAATATAGGTTTTATCTTTGATTTTGAAGTGATTAACACGTTTATATCTAAACCGGTGATGTCCTCGTCATTTGTTATTTTGTCGGAGGGGGTGAATCCGGAACCGGACGACCAAGCGGAGCTAAAAATAGCCGAGCAGGGGCATTTGCAATGGGTGAATTGAATCAAGCTCATGTTGTGTTTTTTGGGGAGCGAATTTTGTCATTGAATTCAATATTTGACTAGAATTCGGCTTGCACTCCCCTCCCATGCTGTCGTGTCCAGAACTCCAGATGCTCCCGCTCCGTCACCCCGCCTCCCTCGCCGCCCGCCGCCTCCTCCGCGACAACCAGCGCATCAGCGCCCTCGCCCGCGCGGGCGATGTCGCCGCGGCGCGCCGGGTGTTCGACGCCATGCCGCACCGTGACGTCGTCTCCTGGAACGCGCTCCTCACCGCGCTCTGGCGCGCCGGCCGCCACCACCTCCCAGCCGCTCGCCGCCTCTTCGACGAGGCCATGCCCTCCCGCGACGTCGTCTCATGGAACTCAATCATCGCCGGCTGCCTCGCGCACGGGGACTTGGACGCTGCCTCCGCCTACTTCGCCGGCGCCCCGAAGCGCAACGTGGCCACGTGGAACGCCATGCTCGCGGGGCTCCTCCGGCTCGGCCGAGCGGATGACGCCGACAGGGTGTTCGGAGAAATGCCCAAGAGGAACGTGGTGTCGTACACAACCATGGTGGACGGGCTCGCGCGGCGAGGTGAGGTGGCGAGGGCGCGGGAGGTGTTTGACGCAATGCCAGACAGGAATTTGGTGTCGTGGGCGGCCATGATCAGTGGGTACGTTGAGAACGGCATGTTTGTCGAGGCGACGGAATTGTTTAAAGTGATGCCTGAGAAGAATGTTGTGGCATGCACTGCAATGATAACTGCATACTGCAAACAGGGGGATGTGGAGAGCGCTAGGAGGCTGTTTGATGGGATTCGTGCCAAGGATGTCATCTCCTGGAATGCCATGATCGCTGGTACGTCCTACATGTTGAATCTTCTTTCCTATGATTTCATTTTGGCTAGATTTTCAAGCTGTAGATGAGGCTGCCCACCCGCATTCCTCAACTACTTGTGTCATCGAGTTGCTTCAAATGATAGATAATAAGCTTTGAAGAATGTTTATGTGCAATAAACTTCTTGTGAATTACAGTTTACAAAGTGTACACCTACTAATGCTTGTAATACTCTGAAGTTATAACTTGTGTTGGGGTTTTTAAGTGTATGATTGCCATGTTTTATTTGACCTTAACAAATTTAACTTTTGTGCATTCATTCTTCAATTTCTTTTCGTTTATTCAATTAAAAAGAAGATATACTTGGTGAATGCAACAGTCACATTGGACAAACTGTGGAATTTCAAGCTTTTAGCTCATGTTTCATTGTTATTGATTCAGTGATTCAGATAATCCTGTCGATGCATTTTTTTTTGTTAAAGAAGGGGATTTAAAGTAAACAAGAATAAAATATAAAGATCATGCATTTATCCCTTTTATTAATTGTGCCACTGATCATGCAATGATAGAAACCCTCACGGTTCACGTCTCCGTATTTCTGCAGGATATGTTCACAATGGACACGGGGAAGAAGCCATGAGATTGCATGCTGTAATGTTCAGAGAAGGTGTAAAACCAGATCATGCGACTCTTATTGCAGTCCTGACAGCTTGTTCTGCTCTTGCTTTGCTCAGACAAGGAAAATCCACACATGCTATTGCCATCAAAGCAATGCTAGAATCTGGCGTCTCTTTTTCTAATGCATTGATGACAATGTACAGTAAATGCGGCAATGTGGGTGAGTCAGAGTTAGTCTTCATCAATCTCAGAACCAAGGATATTGTTTCTTGGAACACAATAATTGCTGCATATGCACAACATGGTAAATATCAGAAAGTTATAGCACTGTTCCATGAGATGGAAGTGACTGGACTTATTCCCGATGATATCACCTTCCTTAGTGTGTTATCGGCATGCGGGCATGTTGGCATGGTGGATGCCAGCTTGAAGTTGTTTGATCTGATGTCATCTAAATACGCCATATCCCCAAGAGCTGAACACTATGCTTGTATTGTGGATATATTGAGCCGAGCAGGACAATTGGAGAAAGCTTCTAGTTATATAAAAGATATGCCATTAGAAGCTGAGAAAAATGTATGGGGTTCTTTGCTTGGAGCATGTCAGATACATGGTAACGTGCAGCTCGGTGAACTTGCTGCTAAGATGCTTGTTCAGTCAGACTCTGAAAGTTCAGGTCCTTATGTGATTCTTTCGAATATATATGCTGCTGCTGGCATGTGGGGTCAAGTCAATCAAGTAAGAGGTCAGATGAAAGAAAGAGGTGTGAAGAAACAACCTGGATACAGTTGGACTGAGATTGCAAATGAAGTTCATATGTTTGTGGGTGGAGATGCATCTCATCCAGAGATGAGAAAGATCATATCTGAGCTGAGAAAAATCAGCTTTCATATGCGAATGGTCACCAATGAAGCTCATATAATGATAGATCTGGCACAAGAACGTGGTTACTTTTCATAATCTTAAGTGCCATGCCATTTGAAACATCCACTCTACTCTGTATCCTATGAGTTCAAGGATCAATTTTTTTTGGAGTACAGGCGTGTTTGGATTCTTTACAGGTTACTGTGCTGCCTAGGTGGGCAAGGGGTTCGCGTGGAATCATAGTTTGGTTCCCTGGTTAGCATTGCCTTGGTGCCTGTGCTTTCCAGATTTTCCTTGCTAACGAGAGTGAGCCAATGCTGCTCACCGTCGTGGGCAAGGTTATGCTTGCCTGGCAAAGCTAGCTGTAGAAGTAAACTTGCCCTCAACTCGGCAAAATGGAATTCCAACAATCCAGCATGTCCTTTAATCAGACAAGTTTACTGGTTATTGTAATGATGACACTGGATTCTTTGCGATAAAGAAAAAGACTCAAGTTTGAAAACTTGATGGTTGGAGCTGCAAATTAGAAGGAGCAGTTCTTAAAGGTAATAATTGTATTTGTTTGTGTTGTCCTCGGAACTTCTATTGTTTTAGACAAAATCTAGATCCAACTTACTTTAGGCATATTTTCAGGTTTCACAGCAACATCCAGGAAAACTGCAAATTACCTAAAGGAAAGTGATACGGTTCTTCAGACAGTGTTGTACTGGTCCTCCACAGACCTTTGTAGTTTTCCTTAAACCTCGTAATGAAATACTTTTTGCGGTTTTACTTAGGCCTATTCGGATGGTGGGGGATTCCAGTGCTAGATCACAGACACATAATTTAACTTGTAAATATGGTCTGTGGAGAACCTTGACACAAGTTCTTTCAATCTCATTAACTGTATTAATCAACGTATTTCCCAGAAAGATAAGGTAATTTGGGCATACTGTAATCTGGGAACATGGGCTGCTTAATTGCATATAGCAGGCCAAGATTTTATATAGAGATTAAAAAATGCAGAAACTTATAAAACCATAAAAGGCTATGACACTTTCTTATTTCATTCTCTATATTTTTACATGTATGTTCCATTCTTTGTAGTCTAAATCCATGGCATGAAGTAAAAGAGAAAAAGGTTACCCCACACAGTCGTCATTGTAAATCTTTGCCATTCCAGCTGTCCTGTGTGCTCAGTGGATCTGAACAATCAAAATCGAAGCTATACTGCTTTCAATTCATAATACTACATTACAATTTAAGAGTTTCTTTTCTTCATTATTTCACCAAATTTTCTGAGAATTGTCTTCTTTTTCTGCTTTCCAGGGTTTTTTTATGTCGTCTGGTTGAGTAGATCTTTCGAAATCAGAATACACATCATCTGCTGCCACAGAATTTTCTTTCGTCTTGCTTCCCTTGGCATCACGAGGTGATGCTGTTGCTGACGTTTTGGTTGATTCGGAACTGAACATAGCATCAATCATATCCTTCAATTCTTTAATGCTACTCTGTGCCGCTGCCTCACTGATCTTGAGGGATTCATATTCTTGCTTGATACTCTGCAAGGTACTCTCTTTCTCAAATATCTGTTCATTAAGGCGAGAGTTCTCCACTCTGGCAATCTCCAGTGATTCCCTTGCTACATTAGCTTCGCCCACCGCGTGCTTCAGCATCTCCCTCAGCCGAGAATTCTCATCTCTGACCACCCTCTGTGATTCAATCAGCTTATCATTCTCTTCCTTTCCTTTACTTAGGTCCTCCTCAAACAGCTTGATGCAATCAACGAGGCCCCTCTCTTTTTCTTTTGACGCCGCTGCCAATTCATCTGACTCAACTTTTAGTCGCTCTGCCTCTTCCAGTGCCAATTGGAGCTTGCCCTCTGTGCTTTCTAGTGAGGCCTTCAAGCTCTCCACTTTGGTCCTTGCATTATTCAACTCGGCTTGCACCAATGAAAGCTTCGCTTTTGTTTCTCTGGCCTCTGTAGTTTGTTCATTCAAGGCTATGGCCAAGTCATCCATGGCCTTCTTGCACTTCTCCTCAGATTCCACAGCTAACTTGAGCTCACGCTGTAGCGACCATGTCTCAACCTCTCCAGGGTCGGCAAAGGAGAATGACATCATACCCCTTCTCCTGAAATTCCTCAACGGCTGCCTACCCGGATTAGAGCTGTTGGTGCTGTCTCGTAGCGAAGCTATCTCAATCTTGGCCTCCTCCAGGGATACCTTGGTCTGCTCAAGCTGCTTTGTTTGGGCCTCCAATGGCAGCAGCATCTTCTTCTCTGAATCTCTTGCTGCTTCCAGTTCGCCTTCCAGGTGCTGTAACCTGTCTGCAAGGTCCAACTGCTCTTCGCCTCCATTACTCTTCAATTTTTTGTTCCTATTCTTGTTCGTCGTCCTGAGCTCTTGTATCTCATCTAGGGCGCGCGCCTTCTCCTCTTTCTCCTTCCTCAGCTCCTCCTGCAGTCTGCTCAACTGTTCTTGCACGTCTGGTTCCTCCATGAAACCCTGGTTGGGGACTCTGCTGCCATTGAAGGATGACCTGAGGCTGACGTCAACAGAAGCACAACTCATGTGAGTTCATGGATTGTTGTTGACAGGAATCGATACAAGAAAGGGAAAAACAACACAATGAAATGAATCAGCAGAGATCTAATGCTCAGTGAAGATCGGCTATTCACAAACATGATCCCAGAATCTGATGAATGAATAAGAAAAAGCAGGAAACTAATACCAAGTGCGTGCGTATCTACCTGGACTTGAAAGAAAACATATTCTCCAACCGAGAACCCTGGAGGATGCAGCAGCCAGGCTCAGAATCAACCAACCATACCACTCGCGGTGGGCCTATGAAGCCGCAACTTTTATATGTCAGAGATGATCCGTCACGCGCATAGGAGACCAGTAGGTTGTATGTTGGAGCGAGGAATTTCCTCTCCTGGTGTTTCGTCAGAGGAAGAGGGGAAGACGAAGACAAGTCTTATTGGTGAAGGATCGTGGCTCGGAATTGAAACGGTCGAACCATACCACTCTCAGGAGACGAGCCGCGGCTTGAAGATGGAGGGGATAATACGAGTCTGAGATGGTCAAGACGTGGTTTCTTTAGATTTTTGTTTTTGTGTTTTCCTTTGGTGCCGCATACCGAAAGGTCCTTTGACCTTGACGTCTCCTACGTCAGCTAGGCCCAGCCGTCAGCCAGTGAGACTCTTTTTCTTTAAAAATTAATAGAGGAGCCGGTACCGGTGAGACTATTGCTTGATTCGCCTTACGCGGTTCGGGATGGCAACAATGACACCTCCAACTCTACTAGGTAAATGAATCCCCTGTTCTATGCGACTCCGTCATGTCTTTCCCCTTTCTCGGCCGTTCCGGGCACAATCAAGAGTTGATTAGTATTTTTCCTTGCCAAAGAAAAGGAATTGTTTGTTTTGGTAGTTTGTTAGTAGCGTGCACGTATTGGCCACATGGAATTGACATTCCTTTTTTTCGAGATCGGGTCTTATACCCGTTTTTCATTAAGAGGAAAGGCTAGAAGAAAGACCGGAACACGGATACCAAAGACTTTCAAGTAATCATAGGATTACCGGTAGAATCCCAAAGACATAAACAAATAATACGAGGGGAACCTCCGCCTCAACAGACCAACCGATTATGCCTGCTAAAGAAAAAATACATTCGCGCAATGGTCACCAACAGAGGATGGGTGAAGCCATGGTGGCAAAGCATCCACCGGTAGAAAGCTCAGCATCCATCCACAAAGCGACTAGGTAGCCGCTACGGAGAGCACAACATCCATCCGCAAGCGACCAGGTAGCCGCTGCGAAGGAGAAGGCGACGATGTCCACCAACGACCAGGTAGCCGCTGCGAAGAAGAAGGCGACCATATCCGCAGCGGCCAGGTAGCCACTGCGAAGAAAAACAGTATCCGCTAGCGACCAGGTAGCCGCTGCGAAGAAGGCGTATCCACCAGCGACCAGGTAGCCACTGCGAAGAAATACACGACTGCAGCAACACCAACATCCGAGGTAGACACACCAAAGCGAAGATGAGCTTGAAGCACACACAGGCATAGCACATGACGGAGCGGCTCCGGCAAGAGTAGCGGAAGGCGTGCTGCAGAAGTGCTCCAGCGATGCCTTCAGGAAGGATATTGACATCCACGGACGCCAACATCGCTGGAGAAGCACTCGAGTAGGTCTTTCGACCCTAACCTGCCCTGGAACAACAGAATCATCGAAGATGCCTTCAGGACGGTAAATGGCGTAGGTTGCGCCACCACCGCCAGCCTGGTTCCACGGAGGAATCGGGCGGGGTTTTCACCCCGACGTTGTACATCCACGAGAGCAGGCCCCATTGCAACAGCCGCCACGCCACCACAGGACCGGCCAGCAGCCCGCCGTCCATCAACAACCGTGGCAGATAGACGACCCGCGCTGGCAACCGGAAGGGCCACCAGAGGTTCGGCCGACCACTCCGGCAGGCAGGGGTGCTGGCCACAGGTAGGGTGAAGCCAGCCACCGCAACGGCGGCCGCCCCAGTACACCCACAACACTTGCCGGCCCGCCAAAGTCCAGCGAGGGAGCGATGGGGAGGCCGGCAATTGACATAGCGATGGCGGTCGGATCTGGCGTTGGCAAGCTGCCCGTCATGGTTCCGGCAGATTCGCGCAGGGAGTCACCACGGCGGCGCCGGCAGCAGCGACCGGGCTCAGCCCGGCCATAGCACTGCCCGCCCGTTGGCGCGAGATCGCCCGCAGGCGGCGCTCTCTTTGTCTGTCGACGGCGCCTCCAGCTCGCCGGCCGGCGTCACGCTCGCCACGCACTAGATCCGAGCCATGGGCGATCTGCGGCCCAAGGGAGAGGAGGGGCCTAGGCCTGTATATTGTAGACCCCAGTCCTATAGTCCGATGGCACTTGATAGGTAGTCTCGAGGCGTTCAGGATCGAAGCACCGTAAGCGCTTGCTTTCCCAATCATGCGAGTCTATTACGTTCATGGCGCCAGGCGAAGGGTCACGGTCTCGAGGAAGCCACGGAGAGTCGGAGACGGAGCCGCGCCGCCGCCGGCCGCCGCGGAGAGCCGGAAGCACGGAAACGGCACACTCATAGGCTCGACTCGACGAGGACGCGATCAGGCTGATCAGCCGATCATCAGTTTATCAATCATCAGTTCATCAGGCGATCAAGCCCTAGCACCTAGGTATTTTTTTCATGGTCATTTTTTATCCAAATTAATTATTTCAAACTTCTAGTACTCGTACTCATATAGTCATGTTTTTCTTTTAATTTAGGTGTTAGAATATTAGAATGTTACCTAAAAAATATTTGTTGGGATCTCAGAAAAGAAAACGGAAAAAAACTAGAAGATAAATTTATTGAATCTTAGAAAGGTGCTATACATAAGTGGACACTATTCATCTCAATACCGTCCTTGATGATTCTGCATCAAGAAGTGCCCGAAGAAGTATCTTTTTATGAGAAACAATGGATATTATGGAGTTCTATTCTTCCTTGTGATAATCATATTAGTTTTAGAAGTACAAATATACTATTGTTTTAATTTACTTTTTTTTACGGTCACCGGAGGAGTTTTTGCCACCTGAATTTTATTTGGCCCTCGTGGCACGGGATAATGTTTACAAGATGTTTACATTTTGAGAGATAGAGTTTACAGGCCACTCCTGGACCGTTTTAGTTTACATTGTTCCTCGATAACCATCAAACATGTTAAATTTAAAATATATCACTGGATTTGTTTTTGCTTTGCAACAAAAATTAGCGCATATATATTATAAGATTTTATATATGGTCTAGAGGGCCTTCGTGACGAGTTCGCCAGAGAGCCCTCAAAATTCTAGTACCGGCACTGGCCATGGGGAACCGGATCCATGCCCAGGAACCACGGATCTGACGTCCCATGGTCGCCGGCGGCTGCCCTTGGTGCCCGAAGTTCAGTGGTCGGAGGAGGAAGAGAAGAAGATGGGGGAGGAAGGGGGAGGGAGGGGGTGCTGCAAGCAGCCTTTTTGAGTGCCGCAGCGGGCCGCCGCCACCGCTAGCTAGGGGGGCGGCGGGGTCCAAGGAGCCAACGATGCGCGGTGGTGGGGGGCGGTGGTGGTGGGTCGCCCCGAGTCGCCCTGTACGGACAACGCGGGCCCCGGGTGTTGCTTCAACTCCTGGAAAAAGGAAATGCTGGAGGAATAATTTGGACATACTATGTGTTTTATGTGCACATTTGATACCTGACAATTTGGCCGGCTTTGCTCCCCTTTTAACACTCAACGTTTTTGCAATGATGTGTACAACGTAGATAAGGATGTGCTGGCCCAAATCAATTGTTGGCAGCTGTGTAGGGTGATTAAGCTTTGCGTGTACGCAAATGGCGTTTAAAGCTTTCATTCAGTCTGCACATTTTGTCATGAACCAGTCACTGGCATAAAAAGAGCCGAATTTTAACGGCCCGGCCTCTATCTTCCACCACATGCCAGTGGTTTCACCCTGTTGAGTTGAGATCACTGGCTCGCAGCACCTGCGGAGGAACCGAGAAGTTTTAGTGTGAAGGCAAGCATGCATGCCGTCTCGTCGCTGCGTTGGCGAGCATAGACAACGGCCCTGTTCGCTTTCTCATGAGCCATACTGTTTCAGTGAAGCAACAATGTTTTTCTCTCACAATAAATCAGTAAATAGTGCTTTTAGCTATCACTTTTCGACGAAACAAACAAGGCCAACGCATTCTTGTTACTGTTGCTCATTTTCGTGCAAAACCGGACCGTCGAACCGTGACTTTGTCTAACACTCGGCCCAGGTACCGTGCGGCCCACATGTGAGTAACATTGCTAAGCTTCTTACAGTAATCCACGCCCTCTTTTTCTTCTACCTCTCTTATCTCATCTCAACGGCCTGTCTGGATTGGTGTTCAGTCGGTAAAATTATTCGATGTACAATACAGCAGAAAAGTCAGTTATGAATTATCTGGGAATAGTCAAAGTAGCATTTAATTGTTGAATGACATATGATTATATACGATTAATGATACCTCTATAGTGAGGAAAATTATTGTTTATAAGAGATTTCTGTTATGCTCTCTATCCATCTAGTAAATTACTACTCTCTCCGTCCTAAAAATAAGTGCACATTTTGTATTTTAAGGGGTCAACTAATTCTAAATTTGACTAGATTTATAGAAAAATATTGTTGATATTTGTATCTTCAAATAGGTTCATAGAAAAGATCCTTCACAAGTTTTTCAATTGGCAATAGCACGGAACATAGGAAATATATCAATTCAAAATTCATGAACGAGATTTAAAAAACAAACAAACAAAGTAACTTCTGTTGCAACAAGGGACAATGGTGGCCTTAGAGCATCTCTAAGAGTTTGCTATCTCAACTTGGCATCTATATAATTTTGGCAAAACAAGAAAAAATAGCCTCCAACAGTTTGGCAAAACAACTTGGCATCAATAGCAACTTGACAAATCTTCCCTCCGCGCGCGCAAATATACGCGCGCGTATACGGCTTGGCATCCGGGGCTCTTCGTTCGCTTAGCGGGCCTCTTCGTTTTGTTAACATGTTTTTTTATTTTACCAAGTAAAAAATGCTAAACTCTTGGAGATAGATTATTTTTTTACTTGTCATATAATTTTAAGAGCTGACAAATCACAAGATTTGCTAAGTAAAATTTGAGAAGCTCTTGAGATGCTCTTAGTTGTTACCAGTTACCGTAGCGCACAATGGCGTCCTAATTCCTCAGAAACGTACAAAACGATTAGCTGCGGTGAATGCGAAGTTGTCACTCCCCGATAAACGAAACCATCAGCATAACGTAACATATGAGTGTCACGACCACTAGCCGAGGTCGACAGACCATGTTCTCCTAATCCTCTCCCAGATATCTTTGGCTGGAAAGCCTACAGACCAGCATAAAAGCTCAATAGTACAATGATACATCCCAACTAAATCCATCTCCCATGATTACAATTATTGTATCTCCAGCTGCGATCCATCTCTTCCCAAGATCAAACGGACGATGATTGTAATCACACACAGCTAAACAACAACCCACAGCCCTAGCCATCACTAGGATTTGGTGGATACACATCCAACATGCATAACCATTCAATCATAGACTCTGTACTAGTTAACTGAGGGCTTAGGTTATTCTCTCCCACACACTAACAGTAACAGGATTCCAGTTGCAAGGTGAAATGATACATGGGGACCACAATAGCAATATAAGAAAACGAAAGGTAAGCAGACCCGATGATAAAGGGGACACGAAAATGGTCCTTGTACAAGCATCACGACTACCCCAAGGGTTAAGACTTAAGAGACAGATATGGCAGTCACTTGGATGGTCTGGCTACTACTCATCGTCAGGCTTGCTTGCATCCCTCATTTCATCACTGCCATCCTCCTGATACATACAGCATGATAAGCATTACTTACTGACAATAGAATTCCAAGTGTTCTGAACTGTTGTTGCTATCCTCATATGATGATGAGATTAGCATAACTGACAATGGAGTAGAATCCCAAGTGTTCCACACACTTAAAAAAAAGAGAGTAAGGTTTACTGATATACCTGCATGTCAGAAGTCCACAAGGTGAGGTTGTCACGAAGAAGCTGCATGATGAGGGTGCTATCCTTGTAGGACTCTTCCCCAAGAGTATCCAGCTCCGAAATAGCTTCATCGAAGGCCTGAAACCAAGTAGGGATATGATATGATGGATTACATAAAACAGCATGTGCTACCAATATTGGCTAATTAGTAATTACTTGCACCAAAGCTTTACGTACAGAATGGTAATCACTATATCGGCAAAGGAGGGTTTTACAAGATTAAGAATTCAGTTCTGATATGTGGCTGGAGGATTGAGAGGGAGAGGCGAGGGTCCCACAAACTCTGATGCAAGACAAGATTAAGAAAGGCCTCATCTCATCGCAGCATGGGGCTACAAAAGAGCACCCCCACTGAGATGGGCAAGCTGATCGCGCCCAACAAACAGGCCCCATTGCTTTGGGAGATTCCTGAATACAGATATAGCAAGTTGCGGTGGATCCGGAAAGGCAGCATGGCGCCCTCCATGTTTCTAACACCCGTGGCCACCGGCGAGGTCGCCGTCGACGTGAGAGACAAGGGTGATCGCTGGGATCGGCCAACGGAGCAGAGATGAATCTCTGTCTCACGCGAGTCTATTGACTTCGTAGTTTTTCGATCTTGTCCTTACAGCAAACAGTTCGAGTCTTAAGGCGTACAGCCACCGGTCCGGAGGACCCACATGTCATAGTCTAAATTATTACATAAATGGAAATACGTCTTCTTGTCTTGGCCATCAGTCATGGGCCGTGACAACTCCCCCCGCCGAAGAACTGGCTTGTCCCCAAGCCGGCACATCAGGGAACCTCTGCTTCACCACGTAGTAGTCTTCCAGGTTGTGGATGCTTCAGGCAAACCTGTCCATGACAATAACACTTGAGTAATAGCTGTGTTACCTTTCTTAACCAGGCGACGATCCAGCACTTGCAGTGGTTGAGCCGTGCTAGCTTGAAGATCAATGAGCATTGGTAGAGTAGAGAAGACCGGGGTGTAGTCTGGACGGTATGGCTTCAGCTGGCTTATGTGGAACACAGGATGTATGAGACTGTCAGGTGGGAGTTCCAGTTTGTAAGCTACTCGGCCAATGCGTTCCAGCACCTTGCATGGGCCGAAGTACTTATATGAGAGCTTAGGAAATGGTCTGTTTGCTACTGATGACTGTGTATAAGGTTGGAGTCTGAGCAAGACTTTGTCACCAACTGTGAACTCCTTGTCAACACAATTTTTATCAGCCTGTATCTTTATCCTATTCTGAGCTGCTTCCAATCTTTGTTTCAGTGCCAGCAAATGTTTATCGCTGTGCTCAATGATGTCAGCCACAGTTGAGATGTTTCAGCAGAGGTGGTTGGGCAAACTCCCAGATTTGGTTCATAACCATAAAGTGCTTTGAAGGGTGAGCAACCTATAGAACTGTGGAAGGTTGAATTGTACCACAACTGAGCCAAGGATAACCATGATTTCCAATTCTTTGGAGAATCTTGGACTGAACACCTCAAGAACATCTCAAGGCATTGGTTGACCCTCTCTGTTTGTCCATCGGATTGGGGATGGTAGGCAGTAGTTAGGTTGAGATCAACCTTGTACAGCTTGAAGAGCTCCTTCCAGAAGTTGCTAACAAAAATAGTATCTCTGTCTGTCACTATTGATTTTGGTAACCCATGCATCTTAACAATGTGTTCCAGAAATACTTTGGCAATTGACACTGCTGTGTAGGGGTGTTTAATTGGTATGAAATGGGCAAACTTAGTGAGTCTATCAACAACTACCAAGATCACTGAGTAGCCTTCTGACTTTGGAAGCCCTTCTATGAAGTCCATTGAAATATCTTGCCATACTCCTTTAGGTATTGTGCAGTGGTGAGAGCTGTCTCACTGAGTCACCAAGTCGTGGGTTCGAAGCAGCCTCTCCGCAGATTTTGCGGGGGGGAAGGCTTGCCTCGGTTTTTCCCTTCCCCAGACCCCACTCATGTGGGAACCTCCGGCACTGGGTCTGCCCCTTTACTCCTTCAGGTATTGGAAGTGGTTGAAGCAAACCAGTGGGATGGCTGAGACTGTGTTTGGCCTGTTGACAAACAGAGCATTGTTGAATATAGCTGTCTGCATCCTTCTTCATGCCTTTCCAATAGAAGTGTCTCTTCAATCTATGATATGTAGCATGGATCCCAGAATGGCCCCCAATAGCACTAGAATGAAAAGCTGATATGAGTTTAGTTTGTAGAGCTGCATTCTGTGCTATCCAGATGAGGTTTTGCTTTCTGATCAAGCCCTGATGTAAGCTGAAGCCTTTAGCATTTGGATTGACAATTGCAAGTTCAGTAAGGAGCTGCTGTGCTTTGGGATTTGTTGCATAGGCATTGAGCACTTCCTGAATCCACTGTGGTTGCACCACTGTAACTGCTTGCACATTGTATAACTGAGCTACTCTAGATAATGCATCAGCTGCTATGTTCTCCTTGCCTGGCTTATAAACAATTTTGAATTGTAATCCCATGAGCCTGGTCATAGCCTTTCTTTGAAGATCAGAATGTAAATTCTGTTCATTCAGATAGGATAAAGATTTGTGGTCAGTGAGAATGACAAATTCTTGCCTTTGAAGATAAGGGAGCCACTTCTCAACTGCCATGATTAATGCTAGGAACTCCTTCTCATATATTGAAAGGGCCTTGTGTTTTTCTCCAATTGCCTTGCTCAAGTATGCTATAGGCTGCCCTTGCTGCATCAAGACAGCTCCAATGCCTTCAGCACATGCATCTGTCTCCACTGTAAACTGGAGTTGAAAGTTAGGTAGAGCCAAAACTGGTGTTTGTGTCATAGCTTGCTTGAGTTTGTCAAAAGCTTGCTGAGCTAGCAGGGGCCATTGGAATGTTTTCATCTTGAGAATGTTTGTGAGTGGCTTGGCTAACAGTCCATAGTTCTTGACAAACTTTCTATAGTAACCTGTAAGTCCAAGAAAAGCTCTAAGCTCTGTCATGGAATATGGTGTTGGCCATTGTACCATAGCTTCAATCTTTGATGGGTCTGTAGCTACTCCCTTGTCAGATATGATGTGCCCCAGATATTCCAGGCTGGTTTGGGCAAATGTGCACTTGGAGAGTTTGAGGTAGAGTTGGTGCTTCCTTAGTGTTTCTAGCACTTCTTGGAGGTGCTGAAGATGGTCATCCCAAGAGGCACTATAGATGAGGATATCATCTAGGAAGACTAACACAAACTGTCTTAGGAAAGGTTGAAGAATCTGGTTCATAACACACTGAAATGTGGCAGGTGCATTTGTGAGTCCAAATGGCATAACCTTGAACTGGTAATGGCCCTGATGAGTTTTAAAAGCAGTTTTGTGTTCATCTGCAGGCAGCATTCTAATTTGGTGATAGCCAGACTTCATATCCAACTTTGTAAAGAATTTTGAACCAACAAGCTCATCTAGGATCTCTTCAATAATGGGCATGGGAAATCTGTTTTTGATAGTCATGTCATTGAGTTTTCTGTAATCCACACAGAATCTCCAACTGCCATCCTTTTTTTTGACCAGTAATACTGGGGAGGCAAATGGGCTATGACTGTGGGTGATAAAGCCACTCTTCAGGAGCTGTTTCACTTGATTTTCAATCTCATTCTTGTGCTGAGGAGAATAATGGTATGGTCTAGAGTTGGTTGGTACTGAGCCTGGCTGCAATGGGATTGAGTGATCATAGCTTCTTGGTGGTGGCAAGTGTTGAGGGTCTTGAAATACATCAGCATATATATCCAGCAGGTGCTTCAGGTCTGGTGCCATCATACACTGAGGTTGTGGCTGTGGTGGGGAGTCTTGGACAGGGTCCACTAGCACATATGCCCAAATATCATTGCCTTGTATTGATTTGTATACTTGCTTGGCTGAAATAGTGCTAGGTGTATTAGGTGGGTCTGGCAGACCATGTAGGGTAACTTGTTTCCCTGCATAGATGGATTGTATTACCTTGGCCTGCCAATCACATTGCATAGGGCTATTTGCCTTCAACCAGTCATAACCAAGTATAGCATCATAAGGCAGGAGGTCTAGCACTATCATATCAGTGTTGAAAGTATATCCCTCACTGAGCCATTGCAAGTTGCTCACTTTGCTTCTAGTAGTCATCCATTCTCCATTAGCCAACTTGATTTTCTGTGGAGTGATGGGAACTGTTGGAAGCTTGGCCAAGTTTACAAAATCTGAGCTGACAAAGCTGTGTGAGCTGCCTGTGTCCACCAGTATTAACATGGTTTTGTTTTGGACTGTGGCCTTGAGTTGTATGCACTCTGAAGATGCTGTACCAGCTAACGCATTGAGTGACAGCTGACCAAAATCTTCAGTGAGAATTTCTTGTACTGCCATTTCATTTAAAAGTTCCTCATCAATTTCTCTGTCCAAGTCATTGAGCACCATAGCATTGATTTGAGGTCTGTTCTTCTTCACACACACTTCAGCATGCCCAGGTTCAAATTTTTCACCACAATGAAAGCAAAGATTATTTGCTTTTCTATAGTCTCTTAACTGTTTATCTCTCCAGAGATTAGCAAAGGCACCTTGAGGTTTGTCCTGCTTCACTGGTTGGACTTTGTTAGCTGCATTATGTCTCTGGAACTTGAGTTTTCCTCTTTCCAACACCTTTTGCTGAATTTTAGCAATGGTGACTGCCCTATCAACAGTAGCTGGGACCTGTGGTTCCACAATAGCTCTGATTTCCTCTTTGAGCCCATTCACATAAGTAGAAGCAAGAAACAAGTCATCCAACTGCCCACCATGCATAGCAATATCATACTGGATAGACTGAAATTCAGTGGTATAGTCCTCTACCGTTCCTGTTTGCTTCAAATTAAGAAGACCATTGATTGCATTTCTATAATCATCACTGCCAAATTTGGTTTGAATTGTTTCACAAAATGTTTTCTAGGACACTGTGGGGTTGGTTAACTTATATGCTTCCCACCATTTGGCTGCATTTCCCTCTAAATGCATAGTTGCAGCTCTGACCCATAAATGTTCTGAAATGCTGTAAATGTCAAAGTAATTGTTGCATTTGGTGAGCCATACCTTCGGTTGAGTACCATCGAAATTGGGAAACATCATCTTGGGCAGTGCATGTTGTGGGAGGCTGTTCTTCTTGCTTGGTTCTGGGGAATGCTTGGGTTGCTTGGACGATGATGGTTTGAAAGGTTCTTTATCCTTGGCATAAGCATTGGCAAATGGATTCTCTTCCTCATATACCAGAGAAGCTGAACTCTCAGTATGAGCATCCTCAAACTATCTGAGAGTCAGGTGAGCGACAGCCTGACCATTTGCTTTCACCTGCTGAGCAATGAACTGCTGTTCAGATGTGCAAGCATCAATCTTGAGACTGTTTGCAGCTAGTTGCTTCTTAAGGTCTTGTTGAATGACGCCGATAACATTCACCCTAGTGAATAACAGGTTGAAATGTTCCATGACCTGATCCCACTTGGTGTTTTCATCTTCTTGACTCCGAGACATCTGATCCAACAGGATCTTCGTTTGCGCCGAAGGCTTAGGAGGAGCCGTGTTGTCAGACTGGCTGAATTCTCAGAACCGCCGTGGTGAAGCAACAGGCTTGGTCGTGACCGCCCCTATCACATGCTTCACCAAAATCCCAACTCCTGGAAGAGAGGCATCGATCGAAGGATTTTACACGGCAACGCAGGTACCACAACCCAAATCGATGGACTCTTCCCCGCCGTTCGCCACCACACCACAACCGAGCACAAATGATGTTCTCGCCGCCGAATCCAAGTTTGTTGAAGTAGTCCCCCAGTTGAATGACAAGCCGTAGATGGAGTATAGCCGATAAGCAGGGTGGTGGAGTGGGGTTTAGTGGAGGTGGAGATGTTGGTGCTCAAGCTTCTGGAATGCCGATGCCGCTTTCTGACCCAGTTCAACCAAAGGAGGGACTTATGGGCCTCACGTCGAACACCACGAGGGCGCGGACAGAGGAGACCTGCCGACCGGAATTACGAACTGAAGATCGAAGCTCACCGATCTGAAACGTACCGAGGAACAAGCTGAGCGCCTAAGTGGTGGTGGTGACGCCGGACTGCGAGATCCGTTGCCGGAGTTGGTGGGGATGAGATCGGGGCGGAGAAGAAGTATGGAGCGGTGCTGGGATGGGGATCGGGTGGGTAGGGTTGATGCCGAGGAAAGACCACCTTTGATACCACTTGTAACACCGTGGCGCGGCGCAGGTCGCCGTCGACGTGAGAGAGACAAGGGTGATCGCTGGGATCGGCTAGCGGAGCATGAGATGAATCTCTGTCTCACGGGAGTCTATTGACCGTAGTTTTTCGATCTTGTCCTTACAGCAAACAGTTTGAGTCTTAGGCGACAGCCACGGTCCGGAGGACCCACATGTCATAGTCTAAATTATTACATAAATGGAAATACGTCTTCTTGTCTTGGCCATCAGTTATGGGCCGTGACAATGTTGATATGAGCCAGGCAGCACATGCAATGAGTTCAGACATGCCAGTAACAATCACATCTTCGAAGCATCCGGCAAGAGCCGGCATGGATGCATCGGATACGCAGCTACTACTACTACAGGGTGCAGGTGGCAGTGGGCACGCAAGCCAAACGTGACTGTGAACCAAGAACAAACATCTTACGGATGCAAAAGCGTCGCACAGTGCAGTAATAATAAAATAAAAAAGGAAAGTTGCAGAATATATTATGGCATATAATAACGCATTGGTGAAAAGGAGGTGAATCGGGCTAAATCAATCATCCACATGCACAGAATGAAATCCAAGTTTGTCCTGCAAATCTTGGGGGTTTAGCTTAGCAGTTACTCTGTGCTGTGGAGCAAGCAAACCAAACTAGCGAGTTGAGATCTACACGTACGCGCGTTTGTTGCAGAAATAGCGAGCGAAGAAATGAATTAAAGTGAGGTGAGGAAGAACCTGCTTGGCGAGGGAGCATGCGCGGTCCGGCGAGTTGAGGATCTCGTAGTAGAAGACGGAGAAGTTGAGGGCGAGGCCGAGCCTGATGGGGTGCGTGGGCGGCAGCTCCTTGACGGCGATGTCCTTTAGATAGGGTTTAGGAGAGGAGAGAAGAGATCCAATGAATCCACAACCATCCATGCATAACTGGTAGACTGCTACGGAGAAGAGAAGAGAAGAGAGGACAAGAGGGGAAGGGAGATCCAATCCAATGAAATGATTCAGTGAACTAGCACGACCCACCTGCGCGGCCTGGTATGCGGCGAGCGTGGAGTCCGCGGCGTCCTTACGCTCTGCGCCGGTCTTGAACTCGGCGAGGTAGCGGTGATAATCCCCCTTCATCTTAAGGTAGAAGACCTTAGCATCAACGGCCGCTGCGGCGGGGACGAGGCGGTCGTCGAGGAGGCGCAGGATGCCCGCGCAGATCCCGGAGAGCTCGGCCTCGACGCGGGCGCGGTACCCTCTGGCGGCGGCGGCGTGTCCCGCGGCGCCCCGCGTCTCCTCCTTGTGCTCGATGGAGGAGACGATGCGCCAGGACGCCCTGCGCGCGCCGATGACGTTCTTGTGGGCGACGGAGAGCAGGTTGCGCTCCTCGACGGTGAGCTCGGAGGACGCGGCGGCGGACACGACCTTCTCCATGAAGTCGACCATCTCCTCGTACCGCTCCGCCTGCTCCGCTAGCTTGGCCATGTAGACCATCTCCTCCCGGGTGCCGGCGGCTGCGGCCATGGGTGCGGGTTGGGGAGTGGGTGGGTGGAGATGGGAACGGGAGAGGGAGAGAAGGAGCGGAGCGGCTGCGGTGTTTGTTTGTTTTAAAACGAAGGGTGATGGGATGGAAACGCGAAGAAACGGAGGCGACGACGGCGAGGGGCTTTGCTGCTGCTGTGCTGCCTTTTCCCTTTTCCCTTTATTATACGGAGGCGACGGACGGGGTGAGTTTTTGGAGCACAACGCAACGCAACGCAACACAACACAAACGTTGCTGCGTTGGAGATAAGAACGAACGAGCCAACAAGAGGAGAGACAGAGCTTGGCGTGGCGCCTTGTGTTGTGCTCATACGGCGTGTCGATTGGTCATAGGCCCGGCCCGCTGGTTGCTGCGACTCCGATGTTGGGCCAGGCCGCTCCGCGGCGGCCCAAACGAAACGCTCCCTTGTATTTTTTCACTTCCATTGGGCCTATATCTCGTTTCGTCCTGATTGGACCGGAGCGGGCCAGACTACCATCCCAACAGGCCAGGCCGATTTGAGCAGCCGCAACCTTACCTGCCTTTGCCTAGTGCTCAGAAAAAAAAAACTGACCCATCCATGGGCTAGGCTGGCTACCTGCGGGCGGTTTCCGCACCCCGTCGTCCACGCCCGTGCCGTGAGCACGTGAGGTGCACGGCACATGGCTTCGTGCGCCCCCAGGAACAGCCAACAGGATCCTGTGGTTGCCTGCCTTGTTGGCCACAGCGCATTCATCGACGACCAATCCTCCACCGCAGGCCCAGCGACCCCTCCTCCTTTCCCTACCCGATGTTTGCTTCGTCCACCTGCTGTTTCTCTCGCGTTCAGGGCCCGGAGTCCACCACCGGGTCATGTGAACTGATAAGCCTTCTTTCCCCCTACTCTTCGTAAGAGTACTCCCGTAACAAAAAAAAAGAAAAAGAAAAAACTCCCCCGTAGAGGCAAGAAACCACGTCTACTGTCACGTTGTATAGATATTACGTATAGAAACCATATTTTCAACGGATAGTCGTTTTCAAAGAATTTCCTTTATCGAATAGCATGTCTTTCTCTCTACACTGTCTACCTATCACATTTCTTTATATCTTGGTTCATGTATCAATATTTTTTTTCTCGAATACGCATGAGATTTGCGTATCATTACATTTAAGAAGAATAGAGTATATGTTACAAGAATAACCGGCTCAGCCGGTTTCAGTTAAGGGACTGCATATTGAAACGCACAACAACAAAACAGTAGAGCCTGACGATGCTAACGCTCGACCAGTGCCCGCAATCCAGCTGCTCCAGCATCGATCCATCGATCCGCCTCCCTCTTGATGATTTGAAGCAGCTCAGAGATCGTAACAGAGGTGTCTCGGAAGCACCTTGCATTCCATTCCTTCCACACCTACCAAGAAACAAACGCAAATAGTGAGTCGAGGCCCTTTTGATGATGGCCATCAGCAAGCTTACGTATTTTGCGCCACCAACTGATTGTGGATTGGGTTCCTTGCAGGAGCTAGAAGCCAAGCACTTGTAAGATGAAGTGCCAGAGTTCCCGAGTGAACGGACATGAAGCGATGATGTGGTCGATTGTGTCAGGGGCTTATCACAGAGATAGAAGCGGTCTCTTGCCTCGAGGCAATGGCGATCTCGCCGATCCGCCCTCCAGTGCCTGCGTCGCAGAGCCAACCAAAGGAAGATCTTGACTCTGAGCGGCGCCCAACTCTTCCACATGGGCCGGTGACCATGGAAATTGACCGCGCTAGATTATATTGGAGCATGATGTATGCTGACTTGGTTGAGTAAGCGCCATCAGGTGACCAGCGCCATACGAGCCTGTCCGGTTGATCAATAAGATTTATCTGTTCCAGAATGGTCCATAGTTCCAAGTACTCCTCAATAGCTGTCTGCGAAAGGCCTCCGGCGATTGCGTGTACCCATTGCCTGTTGGTCAGAGCCTCCTGAACTGATTGCTGCTGCCTGGTGTGGCTTGGTACTAGCTGGTACAGACATGGCGCAAGATCACTGATGCAGTTTCCATGAACCCGGTCTTCCCAGAATAGGGCCAATCGTCCATCTCCGACAGCGGTATATGTGGAGGCCCGGAAGAATGCCTGTACCTCAGGGGCTGTCTTGATCGGCAGCTCGCTCCACGCCCTGTCTTGGTCCGTCTTTTGCAACCACAGCCATCGGGTCTGTAGCGCGAAACCTTGGAGCTTTAGGTCGCTGATGCCCAAGGCTACCCAATTGTGTTGGTTTGCAAACCGTCAGCCAGGCCACCATACATCTCCCCCTAACCGAAGCATCACTGCCTACCCACAGAAACTTCTGGCAAAATGGCGTCTATCTCCTTCCTAGACCATGCTAGAAGATTTTCTACCATCATGGCATATATTAGGATAGTGCGCAAAACTGACTTGATCCACACCAGTCGCCCGCTTCTTGCCATGAGCGATCCATGACAGGGGGGCAGCTTCCTTGCCACTGCATCGACTACCGATTGGAGACTTGGAGTTGTTCCGTATGTTTCTCATCTAGAGAGCATTTCCTCCTCCTCCTCTTCATCTCTCTCTCTCTCTCTCTCAATTTTCTGCATCACCATTTTGCTTAGTTGCCACAATAATTAATAAACATAGAAGTTATTCTATGCTATAAGTTTGGACTGCCCTAACTCTAACAAACGTGTCAGTACAAAATAGATATAGATTTCTATAAATCCTTGTAAAAGACAGACATCTTCTAATTTTCTTGCACATTTGTGGCATCTACGCCCGTCAAACAATAACCTAAAGTAACCAATAAAAGTCTACCCTCTTTGTTTTAAAATAATAACTACACATCTCCCTTCCTCAGTAAGTTAAATTTTTAAGTTTTACTATATATATATATATATATATATATATATATATATATATATTATCAACATTTATATCTTTAGATAGAGTTACTGAAAGTATATTGAATGGCCAATGTAATGATAATATATCATAATTATTAATATTTTTATATATATTTAGTTAAACTTAAAGTCAGATGAATAAACTATATTTAGACAGATACTATTATTTTCATTCTGAAAGAAGAAATAACCTATGGCCAGCTGAATACTTTGTGTACCTAGACATGTTATGTTTAGATACATTAATAAAATCTATATATTTAAGAAAAAAAAGGTAACACGATTTACAATTTTAAATGAATGGAGCAAGAATCATGGAATAAATAAAGCGAAATGGACAGTCATCATCACATCAGCGGCAAGAACACGCACGTACTGCGCACCGAGACCAGACGACCTTCCCATTACCAAGTCCAAGTGATGCAAATAAAAATTCACTGAGGACCGAGCCTTGCTCGGTTGGCTAGCTGCGCCGGCGTGCGAGCAGCCCACACGAGTTCGATCCCTGATCGACTCGCGTGCCTCACCGTTGCTAGGGATTTCTGCTTCTCACGCGTGACGTCACAATAGAATCGTGACGTACCCGTCGTCTACGAAATCAATGGATTTCGGTGATTAAAAAAGGACGTCGACCATTTGAAGCTCTATATGGAAGAAAGTGTAGGACACCACTCAACTAGGTTGAAGTGGGAGACCATGGGTACTTTGGGCTAGAATTCATCAAAGAGGCTCGAGAACAAGTAGGCATTATTCGGAGTCACTTGAAGGCAGCTCAAAGCTGACAGAAAGCTTATGCGACAAGCAAAGAAGGCCCTTGGAGTTGGAAGTTGGGGATTATGTGTACCTCAAGGTGTCTCCTATGAGAGGGTGCATCGGTTTGGTATCTATGGCAAGCTAGCCCCTCGATATGTGGGTCCTTATCGGTGTTGGAGCAATGTGGCCCAGTTGCTTATCGTCTCCAGACTTCCTGATTTTTTATCTATGGTACACAATGTATTTCATGTATCGCAATTGAAGAGATATTTACGGGTTCCAGATGAAGTGTGGAAATTGAAGGGCTTACCCTCTAGCCAGATTTGACTTATGTTGAGCACCTGTCAAAATCCTGGATGAGAAAGAAAGAGTGACGAGGAATAGTGTGGTAAAGTTCTACAAGGTGCAGTGGCAAAACCATTCAGAGGATGAAGCCACATGAGAACAAGAGAGTTACCTATTGAAGCATTACCCCCACCTCCTCGTTGGTTCTGATAGTTAGTTGTTGCGTCGAAATGTATTTCCTATCTCCTTCTCACACTAGACACATGAAATCACGGGTCGAGATTTTATTTTAAGGGGGCAGATTTGTAACACCCTCGGTGTTACACTGTTTAGTTTTTGCTAAAACACGGCATGAGCATCATACTTATGTGTAATTGTGTGTAAATATATGAGTGATAGAGTGTAAAGCAATATACGGAACTTGAAACATTCATTTGAAACACGAAACGCATATTACATTTCATGTCGCGTTGTATTACTTAGGATTCTAAATGAATTTTTATTGGACAGAAATGCTATGGAACGCATATGCGGAACGTTAGTAAAGTTTGTAGCACGAACTTCGTAGGCGACGATGAAATACGTGCGGTCGAGGACAGGGTTCGCTAGCTAGTGTATCAAGTAGCTTGGAAATGGAATTCGACGTGAAACCGTTCGAAGTTTAGTCAATTCTCGTAAGTCTGAAAATAGGTCGACGAAGCCATGTTCGACAATTTTTGTAGAATGATTGGGTTAAGTAGTGGCCAGATGTTTTGAATTAGTTTGATAGCCCTAGGTACCCTCTTGAGTGTAGAATAACTGGTTTGACTTTTGAATCATCGGGTTTGAGTTTTTGAACAACTTTAAAAAACGTGCAAGTCATGTGTTGAGCAATGCCAGCGCTTGGGCGCAGTCACCCTACCAGCTCTCGGCGCGCCACGCTGGACCACCGTCACGCCTGCGCGTGCATGTCCACGTGCATGGCCACATGCTGCTGGCCATGGCCCTGTTGCTGCGTCCTGGCACAAGCACGCACACGCACCGTGCCGGTGGGACTGGTTGCTCTGTCTCGCCATCGCGTCGCACTACACCCTGGTCAC